GCCGGGAATAGCGTCTTCAAGCACATTTGCGTCTTCAAACGGAATTGCGTCTTCAAGCGCATTTGCGTCTTCACCCTGTGGTTGCGCAATTGCGTCTTCAAAGCGATTAGCGTCTTCACCCGCTCGACCGCCCCTGGCCAATAGCGTCTTCAAATAGCGTCTTCGTCTTCAGGCCTTTTGGGGAACCCCGTGTGCCACCTCAATGTATATATATATATATATATATATATATATATATATATATATATACATAGGGTCCTATTCGACTGGTCTTATACCGGGCCCCTCCCGTGCGTACATTCCCCGCTCAGGAAGGCCCAAGACGGCCCAAAACGGCTCTGGAAAACCTGTGGAGGCCTCCCGAGGGCCCGAAAAGCTCTCCAAAACAGCCAACATGGGCCCAAAATGGTCCAATGTGGGCCCAAGACTACGAATAGAATACCCAACGGCCCCCAAGACCGCCCAACAAAGCTCCCATTGTGCCCCCAGAGGGCAACACATTGTATCCTCGAGTGTCCTCGGTGTGATGGTGGTAAGAGAGGGGGTGTTGCGTAGATGCCTCTTTCACGGGTGGCGAAGACGGGGGCCCTGTTGCGCAGGGACCCGAGCCACTACCAGGAACTTGGTGCCCAGGGGGGTGGGCGGGTTGTTCAACATCGGGAGAAAGCCTGAGTCCAAATGGCCATGGGTATCAGGCAGAGCGAGAGGATGATTGCGCATTCGTGTTGCCACACGGGACGTATCCTCCAATGGCCCTAGAAGCAATGCGATGGTGGTAAAAGACGGAGGGTGACGTAGATGCTTCTCTTTCGGGTGGCGGAGACGGGGGCCTGTTGCGCAGGGGCCCGAGCCACTCCCAGAATTCTTAATGCCGCCCTTCAGCGATGGGGGTGGGTCACCATGAGGGACGGGGCGGAGGCCTGGAGGTGCCGGGGGCATGGTCCCCGGGGACTCCCACTGGACACCGCGAGCGTCGAGGCCCGCTGGACCCGCTGCACCTCGCTCCCCTCGCCCCGCCGCGCCGGCATCGCCGCCCCTCCACGACGCCCGCCGCGCCGTGCAGAGGGAATCAGGGAATCTTCACCGGCCGAAATGGCCACGGGGTTCCCCTGGATGGAATGTGGGGCCGGGGGGGAGGTCTTCCCCCGGCGCGGGGAGGTGTGGGCCACCTCCAATTGCCCCGTGCTGGGCCCCCGTCCTAGGAGGTCGCGCGGGGCCCTGCGCGCCGCTGCCGCCGCCTCCAACTCCGCCCGTGCGGTGTCGTAACCGACGTGCTGGGCGGTGCTGTCACTGCGGCGTCAGGCGCGTGCGCCCGCGGCCTCCCCGGCCGCGCCCCTCTGCGAGTGTCCTGCCATTGGCGGCCGTCCTCTCCTCGACGGTCGACTCGTGCAGCTCCTGGGAGGCCCGCGTCATCTCGTCGAGCACGTGCCACTTCAGGTCCGCGGCCGCCGCGTAGGCCCCGAGGGGCTCGTCGAAATCCGCCGTCTTCATGTTGCCGAGATCGTCCGACTCCTGGCGTTCCTTGCGCGGTGGCCAGTCGAGGCGCAGTGCCATCTTGTGTGACCTCAGTTCCTCTGAAGGCTCGATGAGGAGGACTGTCAAAGGCCGCTTGGTCGACGTGGCCCCGTTCGCCGCGCGCGCAATCCCCAAGTCTTCCGTCGACCCCTGTCATCTTCAGGTTCGCCCTCTGGCGGTGCTCCCTGGGCTTCGCGAATAACGTCGCGCAGAGGGTCGTGCCGAGGAGCTCGAGGCCGCGATGGCCCCGTCCGGGTCGTTTGCCTTGGCTCGCGCCCTGGGGGGCCATTCCTTCTCTACCTCGACATGCCAGCGGGCCCCTCGCGTGCCGCTGTTCGAAGGTGCTACGTGCCCAACCGCCTATCCAGCAGCGCCCTCCCTCCGCCTTCGCATCCGAGCGGACGTGCCCGTCGCTCTCGGTTCTGGACTTGATAGGCGACTCCAGTATCTTCGTCCATTAGCCAATCGTCTGCCGATCCGCGTCGGCGCGAGCCCGGCCGCCCGCGCGCCCACGGTCAGGAGGCCCTCTTCCTGCCTCGCCTGGCTGCGCTGGCGAGCCAGGCGCGCGCCGGCCCCGGGGGCGGCCCCTCGCATGCCGGGGCCGTCGCAGCGAAGCCCGGGCGCCCCATGCCCGACGCCAGCTCGCACGAACGTGGGCGGCGCCGCACTCGGCCGTTCTCTCGCGCCGGGCTGCTGCCCGAGCCGCCCTCGCATCAGAGAGGCCCACGGTGTCCTTGGTGCAATCGCAATGAAGACCGACCCCGTGTACCTCGAGGCCGCCGCGCAGAATGTGCCGAAGGCCTGCGGTGTTGCAGCGCACCTCGTCATCGAATTCGCAGGCCAGCATGCCCCGCCCGTCGTTGCGGATCTTGACAAGCCGACGCGCTCACTTGACGTCGGTGACGAGTGAGAAGATGACCACGCGCCGGTCCTCGTATTAGCTCAGAAAGCAGTGCTCCTCCGTGGGCCTCGGTATCCACTGTCGGTTTCGGCGTCGAGTCGGGTGGTTCATGGCGCCCTCGCGCGTGCAGTCGCGGGCGTTTCACTTCTTGCCGCTCGCGGTCTCCAGGACTGCCAGCGCCGCGATGGCGTTGTTGTCGTGGAAACCATTGCGCAGTTGCTCCTTGGACATCTAGATCATCCTGCCCGCTGTTACCTCGTTCGCGAAGTCTCCTCGGAGCCAGTCGCCGTGGTCTTCCACGCTGCTGTATTTGGCCGCCTCTGGGGCGGCCCAGTTGGCCGTGTTCTGGTCGAGGCGTCACTTCGTGAGTTCCTTGACGAGTTCATTCTGCTGGGGCATCTCGTGCAATATGCCCGCCGTGACTCCCGTCTCCAACTCCCTCGTCAAATCCGCGTCTGGGTCCCCGGCTTCGCGCGGAGGTTCCGCTAGCAAGCGGAGGCGGATGGGCTGCGCCTCGGCGATGTGTCTCAAGTCGTCGTCGTGGCCTGGCAGTCCCGTTGCCCCCGCCCAGCCTTCGAGGATCGTGCGGGCCACCTCGTAGGCCTCCTTCCGTGCGAGATCGGGGGGTTCGCTCGGGTCGGTGCTGGCCAGCTGTTTCTGCGCCGCCAGCTCGAAAGGGGCGAGAAGGCCTCGTGGTCGCACGCCTCTTTCCCCCCCGCGATGCCGCGATGATGGCGCCCGCGTGGCAGTTGGGGTTCGTGTCGCGGTGGCGCCTGAGAGGTCGCGCCGCCGAGCCCCCGGCGCGCCTCGAGCAGGTCGGGTCTCGTCGGCAGCCGCTCCGCGCGGAGCGAGGTGGCGGCCTTTTGGGCCGTGGCGCTCGAAGGGGGGAGGAGTTGCCCCGTTTGCTCGACGGGCGCTTGCTGTTGCCCCGCCCGATGTAGACGTCCCCGCCTCTGAGTGGTCCGCTCTCGAGGGGGGGGGGGGCCCTCTCTGGCGCCACCTCGCCCTCGTCCTCGTCCTGCTCCCCGAGCGTGACTGATGAGCGGCTCCAGGTAGGATTCCCCCCCCCCCGCAGTGGGCAGTAGCCGCTCTGCCCAGCTGCCTGCGCCCTGCGCCGCCAACTCGCGCAGCTGCGAGGGCCAGGCCGCGGTGCCAGTGGTCTTGAACGTGGTGTCGTCCCGCTCGCGCTCTAGCGACAGGGGCCCTGCGAGTGGTGGCGGCAGCGGCACCTGATGCGCGCCCTTCGCAATGAATTGCGGCCTCCCGTGGTGGGGCCGTGGGCTTCACCTGCCCAAGGCATCGGCCCACCAGAGGCGCTCCGCCGCCAGGTAATCCTCGTGCTTCTCCTCCACCATGGGCAGGCTGGCCATGAGGGCCTGGCGACTCATGCCTGGCGACTGGCGATGCGACATGCGGGCCCGCCGTAACGCGACGGCCCCCCGCCCCAAAGGCGCGGCCACACAGATGCGCGCGCGCGCGCGGCGGGGGAAATGCTGCTGGTGCAGAGGAATCTTCTGCGCGCCACGGGGTGTCTTCGGCCAACATGGCTTGAGCCCAACTGGCCACGGACACACATATGTATATATGTACGCATGCGCACACAATCTGTGCATGAAGTCAAAACGTGTATTCAGGACGTGTGGTAAGGACGCAGGACGCTTGGAGGCCGAAATTGGGATTTTGTTGGGCGACGGGCGACCAGTGAAAACGGCAAAGGACGGGCCGCAGAGGCAAGGACACAAGGGTACCCTAGATGAAGGCGCGCGTCCTTACTAGGCGCGTTGACTGTAGAGGTATATGGACAGAGAGGGGGAGAGAGGCGCACTGTAGCAACGATCTGCAGGATCAGGCCCCTCCTGCTGTCTTCACTCCATATTGCTCGGGAAGCTGGCAGCCCTCGTAATGATCTTAGGAAGAGGAGGGTGTCGAGAGGGAGCAAAAGGACGAAAAGGGGGCATGATATTGGGATTGTCCGTGTTGGCTCAAATGAGGATGGCGATGGATGGGGAGAAGGCGTATGAATGGAATGCGAGTGGGAGGAGGAGCGTGAAGACGAAGGGCAGGAGCAAGATGAGCAGGGCAAATAAGGGGGTGGGGGTGGGGGGGTGGGTGGGTGGGAGGGGGGCGTGGGGTGGAGGAGTGGTGATGACGATCATGGTGACGATGGCGATGACGATGCTGATGATGATGATGATGATGCTGATGAAGATGATGCTGATTACGATGCTGACGATGACGATGATGCTGGTTATGCTGCTACTGCTGATGGTGATGCTGATGAAGATGATGCTGATGGTGACGATGATGTGATGATGATGCTGATGACGATGATGCTGATGCTGATGCTGATGATGCTGATGATGCTGATGATGCTGCGGCTGATGATGCTGCTGATGATGAAGCTGATGAGGAGATGTTGCTGATGATGATGATGATGATGATGATGATGATGATGATGATGATGCTGCTGATGCTGATGCTGCTGATGATGATGATGATGATGATGATGATGATGATGATGATGATGATGATGTGGGGTTAGAAGAGAAGCAGCACGTCATCGTCGTCAATGACGATGGGGGGC